TGTGTCTGAAAATGATCTCTACCGTTATCGAAAAACTCGATTCCGGTTGCAAACGATTATGTGAATGAGCACTACTCTCCGCAAGTGAGTTTCACCCCAAAAGCGAGAAAAGAACTGATTAATCACATTTGTTGCAAACTTTTTAATTCCAGCATTGGCGCGCACGTGTGATCGGCGCGCTTAATTTGAGAAAATGAAGAAACCAACAGAAGACGATCAGTTTGATTTCCGAGAGACTCGATCACTAACTGTACGGTAATGCATAATTTTCACATGCGACATTTGCAAAAACGCGTAAACATGGAAGCTGATTCTCCTCGCCAGGCGCGCACCGCGCACGTGTGACGTAACTACAGCCAATCTTGGCCGTATTTCACGGCGGATGTGCGGCCGTGTGACAAGCAGTATGCAAAACGCGTGCGTGTTCGCGCGAGCGTGAAATTACATTGCGGTACAAGTACAACCCGTACACTGCATGCGTACCTACGTGCGTGNCGGGCGAGAACAACCCTTACTTCGGAATTTCGTAAATGGGCGGCGCGGCGCGCAATTAGTATAATAAAGTGCTGGATGTGCATCTGGCGGGGTGGAATTGCGTATTCACGCGCGCTCTCTCGCGCGCTAATCCCTCCGTGGCTTTGATGCGCCCCCACCGCCGCCGATAGCAAATATGACGATTTTTTATACGCCTTCATTATATTTCTTCTCACTTTTAATATTAAAATCTTATGCGTTTGCGATGACAAACCGTGGAGACTTAAACAAAATGCGCGCGAGCTGAGACGAATCGATGACACAGATCAGGAAGTGCGTATAAAAAGATCCTCGCGAGCGCGAGAGTTATCGGTGATTCGGTCGTCGAGCACGTAGTCGTGCGTCATCGTACCTGTCATAGAACACCGCGCGCGGCGCGCAACCGATTCCAGTTTCACGTCACCTCCGTTGCATTGTACACCGTATCACCGTCGTCGTCGACGAGCGACGATGCCTGTTTCAACAGTGAGTATCGTCATTCACTCATGGCCGGCCGACGACAGAGGCGAGAAAAAGAGAAATATCGGCTCGCTCCGAGAGACCAGAAGTTACAAGCGAAGAAATGATTCCCTAATATCAGCTAAATCTCATTAGATGGTTATCTGATACTTGTTGAGCAAAAAGTATATCTCTTTTATTAATAAATAAATATAATTATTATTTTTTAATTTATCTTAACGCGTTATCTGTTTCCAATGAAAGCGAACATTTTTCGCGAGTTTTGACGCAAATATAAAATTACTTAATTTACATAGCGAGAAAGAGGGAGAGTATTATCAGTGCGTCTTGCACAGTTGTTTCTTCAATTGCGAACAGTGCCGCGACGAAAGCTCACTCATTCCGCCCTGTACCGCGTGGGGAAACGCAGCTTTCCCGTTTCTGACATCGTAATCCAAGCCGGCAACGGTTTGTAAGTATATTCCGTTTTTCCTTTTACTCCCTTCGTACTTGCGCAACTTCCCACCCCCGACTACGTTAGCAGTAATTGCGGGGAAACAGCTTTAAAAAAATTAACTTCCATTTCCTCGACGAATAATTGCAGCTTTCGACCGACCGCCCACTCCCGTCGGTCCGTCTGTCCGTTTGTCCGTCGTCTGTTGCGTCTCGTGTTTTTTATTCCTTCGAGAAATCCATCGACGGATTGTAATTCAAGACAACCGCGAGCGACCGCGACTTTATCCGTAGGTAAGCGACGAACAATGAAAGAAACGCAAACAGCTCCCGGTAATTTATTAAAGCAGCAGTCGTAACGATCGCATTCCCCTCCTCTTTCCCCTCCTTCCCCCTCTCTCTTTCTCTCTCTCATCCCGGATGGCGGTGCCGAAACTCGAAATCCTCTATTAGGTGTACTGTGCGTCGGATTTCCTCTTATCGCACTGGTATTTGCTGAGAAATGGATCAACTCTACTGCCGTGCTGCAAACGTCTTCGGCAAATACGCTACTCCTACTACGAGGTAAGAACGGTGGCGGCAACGGGCTCTTTCTCTCTCTCTCACTCTCTCTCTCTCTCTCTCTCTCCTTTGGTTTACCCAAGCACGAACGTCACTTGATAGAACTTCGAAAAGCCGGAGATATACAACTTGCTTGGCCTACGACAAGAGAGACTCTTCCTTCTCGGAGTTAACTATTCGACCGTCTGAATTATAAGCTTGACATACGAATTCCCGCGCCAAGTAATTACGGCGCGGGGAAAGTAAGCGTGTAGCGCTTACCTGGCACGATAGCACATAAGGATTCGTATCTCAATGTATAAAAGAATGATAAAGAAAGTGGTTTTCAATTGTTATGGCTAACTCTTAACTTACCTCCGATCTCCCTCGTAGTCAATAGTGGTTCATTACCTACTAAAGCCCTCAGAACGTCGTAATCAAGCTCCTTTGGTCTTCCGATGCGAGGTTCATCTTGAAGCTTCATGTCACGTGACCTGAATTTTTCAAATCATCTATGGACCGTACGCACTTTAACTTTAGATGGTCCAAAGACGAAACACAAATTTTTATGAGCTTCCGTCGCATTATGACCAAATTTAAACTCATAAAGCATAGAGTGCCTAAAATGAAGTTTTTCTTGATCCATTATATACCCCTATTTCTCAAAATTTAATGATTAAAAAATACCTGTAATATCAAAAATCAAAACGTGGAACTACTAGCTTTCGATTAATACCAAAATTGTCTAAATTGCATAAAGAACAACAAAATAATGAACATTTCAATTGGAGTAACAGAAAAACGATATAACTTTCTTACCAATCTAATATTTGTCACGTCGAAAATTTGTGCATGAGAAAGTTTCACGTATTCGTGGGGTATTGACTCGTTATCGCGCAAATAATATCCTTATAATGTTATAATATCGTTGCCACGGCGCGCGAGATGCTTAAAATAATTAGGAATACATATTAATCACGATTTATGTCATGATCGTTACGCACGAATGTTATAGTTTAATCGTGAATTATATATCGCTGATACATATATATTAAACAGTGCAATAATACATGCGAAGGGTAATTGGCCGCCAATATGAAAAGTTTCCGATAATTACGTGAAATTAACGCCAATTAATTTAATAATCAATTTCTATTGTTCGCGTGTAGGTTAATGAGGCGGGCTGCGTAACTTTATAACAAATTATTTTAAAAATGGACAATAAATTTATAAACTCTGCTTTGTCACTTCATCCTTCCCATTAGAATAATGAGTGTCGCATGATAATCGATTAATTACTATTATCTCGCGGCAATTTACGTCTCTCTCAGTGAATCCAATTTTTTTTTTAATAATTTTCGCATATCATAGCCGTTTGTATACGCATCTCATTAATAACTTCCCCTTCTCGCGGCGATTCGCGATAAAAAAATCAGAAATGCATTTTAACGCAACATTAATCAGTTTCTAAGCAGTATTTGACTAGTTTCTAAGCAGTTTTCGACTAGTTTCTAACCAATTTTACATCAGTTTCTGATCAGTTTCTAACCAATTTATAATTTTTTTCAGCGTTTTCTAACTAGTTTATAAATAGTTACAATTAATTTGGCGTTTTGCGTTGGAAATTGCACGCTCATCAATACGCACTAAAGTCCATCAGCGACGTCCAAACAAGCCTCTCCATCAACGAAAGTCGCCGCTGCATCCGCAATTCATCCGTGAACGTTCAGCCTCCGTTCAGCATCGTCCCACGTCGATTGTCAGACGTTGATTGCACTTCGCTACACTCGCGACGCGATTGATATTCTCCGTTTTATATAACGTTTAACGAATTTAATTTTGACTGCATCAACGGCGGACTTTGACTTATTTCGGCACGGATCCTGCGAATTTGTTTAACGTTAAAGCTAAATCGGTATCTGCAAGTCGACGTTTAATGAACGTCTATCGCAGCACGATCAACTCCACGACTGCATCTCACGAACGCATTCGCGAAATCGTATGTGCGAACAAAATTGCAAACTTGATCGGCAAAAATCGCGAAATCAACGTGTCCCAATAATTTTTGTCTTAACGAACAAAATATCAAAATTTTAAGTCGCAGAATGAGAACCGAAATAATGAGCCAAAGAGAATCGTAAATCGAAACAAATTTAACAGTTCCGATTTTGGTTCCAGTTCTACAGACTTTATGAAATTTCGGTACGGTTTACGGTTCCGGATTTGACAGAAATATCGGTTTCGTTTATTCGTATCATCGTGTTTGCTGCAATAAACGACGCGTTATAAATCGAGGAAAAGGTAATTCCTTCGCCGCGGCAGTGGCTGAGATGCTTCGAAGCCGACTTGCAGGTAAGAACTTACGAACAGGACCGTACACGGTGTTTATGATTTTTGCAGACGGGCCTCATTTGTGGTACTTCGTTGCATGGTTTTGCGCCGAGTCCCGAGGTGTAAATAAGCATTCGCCGAGATTGCGCTTGATTACAGGGAGATCCGCTGCACTTCGGTCGTCTTATTGCGGAGCACGTAGACGCGCGAGTACATCGCCGAGGCGTGAACCTTTGTCCAAATTTAATAATTCATATTTGCAAGCGGACGAGATTCGAACGGCATCGCTGAGATTCTCTGCAGCAATTCTCCGCTCAACAGAATTTCGACTTGGTGAGAGAAAAAGAGAGGGGGGAAAAGAAGGTATGAGAAAGAGAGGCCACGCTAACAGCCGTGAAAATAGCGAAATTATGATACGTCTTACGGGTACAGGCGGGTCCAGCAATTTCTCATTCTCGTCTACCCCGCGATGGTGCACAATTTGCTCGCGTTCCTCCTAAATCACGGTCCCTTTATCACGCGAGTCCCTTTAGTACGCAAGAAGCACGCGAGTCTGTCGAGCGATTTCTCAAACGGAAAAAAATTAAGTACCAATTCAAGACATATATTCTAATAGACGCAATCGTTCTTTCATATATAAGCGAGAATATATTATTTTCTTATCAAAATTTAATATTCTTGAATAACTTATTCAATATCTCAACAATATCATCATTTCTGAAAAATATAAACTTTTGTGCGCAGTTTTTTCCTTGTTGGTTCGGACTTTTTCATACTTGCTACGAGGTAGCATCCACTGTCCAAAACGTTGCAGACCCTTCATGCCGTTGATGGGCGCACAATTTGAAAAGGCTCGTTTATATTTGATCCACCCTCGTATATCAACTGCAAGTTAAAAGCTTTCTTTTGCACGCTCGCAGCACTTTATATCACGTCTTTGTTAAAAGATATGACTTATGCAAAAACATAAAAAAGTGACATTTTTTGTATATTTAATCGCGATTTTTTCAAAATCCTGACGTGCTAGATAATTTTTGCGGCCAGATTCGTAATCAGCGCTGAAAAACCTACTAGAAACCATTTTTGTTATCCCCAAATTTAGCACGTGTCAGCCAACGTATCAACTAGACATTATATTAGATGGTTGCATATGAAACCGCCCATTTTTGAGCGAAAGGAAATTTAGTGGTTTTGTAGCAAATCGACGAATTGGTTTATTCAAAGTATTGCCCATCGGAACAGACAGCCTTGGTCCATCTTTCAGCCAACAAACGGATTCCACGCAGGAAGAATTCGGGTTCTTTGGAGGCAATCCAATCATCCAGCCATTTCTTGACTCCTTCGTACGAGGTGAAGGAATGAACACACCTACATAATATACAGAAAAAATATGTTCGTATACTCAACTTTTATAAGTAGTTTTAAATCGTATATACATTTTTGTACACACTTTTCCGTGCGGGGTGAATTCATACAAAAATAAATTCGATGTTAATTTACAACTTGTTAATACAATTTATAGGAGTGTTATAATTTACAATATCAAACCCAATTATAGTTATTAGAAGTCAAGCGGACTGGAACCGAGGCTATTGCTCATATTCGGCAATTTCGGACGATCCATAAATGATGACGCCGTTTATTTATTAGCAGGGAGTAGTTGCGCGTGTAATAATAACCCATCGCGTTACTACGAGATTAGCTGACTTTTGCGGTTTGGAGCGGTTAACCGCCGTTGTTTAACACCTAAAAACGATCTGTCACCCAGCGCTCCGGTATGACAGAGAAAGAGAGAGGAGAGGAAAAAGAGAGATCTAACATGATTGCGAAAATAATATGTCGGCCGTGCGATCGCTTCTCCTCCACCCCCCTAAGAACCGTCATTATTCTTCACGAGACTCGAGATTCGGTCAACGAGGCGGATTTAAAACGGAATTGATACGCGTTCAACGCTTTTTCCGTGAGGTCGTCACCAACAACGATGAACCGTCGACAAACGCGTGCGATAAAGCGTGCGTGCGACACGCGAACGAGGAGAGAGGGGAGGCTAGCGCGAGTTTCGATTTCGCCGGGTGCGGTAACCCAAGCGCGGTAACTTATCTCTCGGCGGGTTCGGCGCGCATCCCCCGCACGACTCGATTTACGGCTTTAATTTGCCGCGCACCTACGCAATATCTACTTTATTCCCGCGGGTCATGCGTTCAGAATTCCGCGCTCACTTCGTGACCGCGCACGCAATGCATATTTTATCACGCAATACGTTTCCCGCGACTCCCTCCCTCCACGTTTCCTTTCCGCTACGCGCTAGGCTTCGGTTTTTTTCCCAAAGCGGTTGTGCAAATATATGTACATATATATATATATATGCGGGGTTGGGAAGCAACGTTACTTGTTACGCTGTTATCGTTGCGACTTTTTTTTCTGTAGTAACTACTTGCGGCAACGACGTTGTGTCTTCTCATCAGCAGCGGTGACGCGGTAACACGATTACGTTTTTTTTCTTTTTCGTGTGTGACGAATATGATTGTTACTTTTGCATATGTGCAGGTTAGAAGCTGGTTTAATTCCTACTTGAGTGCGTGCTCAACCTTTAGATGAAGCTGGACGTTCTCTCTCTACGGCGAGCTCGACTTTAACATCGACTTGCCATTTTTTCATGGTTAGAAGATAAAAAAAATTAAAAAATTATACACATGTTTTTAAGTATATCTGAGTTAAAGTAAAAAAGAAAATATAACGCCGCGGGGGTCAGATTTTTATATATGCCGCCGCACCCAACGTGTTAAGATGCGAGCCTCGTGTGCGTAACTGTGTTTTACCTCGCTCGGGGCACGAGCGAGTTCCCCCCTTCGTTTTACAACTGGAACTGGAGTGTATTCTATCGGGAACAAGCCGCCATGTTGTGTTTCTCGTAACGAAGAGGAAACGATATATAAGACATGAGGATAAAATACAAAGGAAGCCTGATTTGTAACGAACGATATATTATGACGTTTCTATCTGCTCTCTTCTTGAAATTATCCTTCGTTATAAGTCAATAAAATATATTTTACTCTCTTTATTTCACATGGAAAATATAGAAAGACCAATAAGAAATGCGCTTGTTAATGCGGATATAATAGAAAAGAGCCGAAATATAAGCGACATGTTAACTTACCCCTGCAGTGAAGTATCCCCGCTCTCCCCTAACGCTCACGATGACAATTTTAATGAGGGAAGTCCTCGTCGTCGTGCCGCACTTCCAGCCAGTCGTTTCGTCTGAGCGCGGTAGAGCCAACGGGAAACGAATCGATATATTTCCATCGAGATATTTCATCTATATCATATCGTGCGCAATTAGCCCATTACGTGATCCATTGCGTTAATACGTTGCGCGACCGCGTGTCATCGATATTTTATTAATAATCGTCGCCGGTCGACGGCACCAAAGTACCGCCGACACGGCGGACGGTAATGTGCATTCCGTGTCCGGTGATTTTATGAATTCGCAATTCGCACTTCGGGAGCGAGCGGCGGCGCTATTGACCCGTAATAAAGTTGCACTTGGTAAAAGTGGCGGGTCCCGCGGGCTGTTAGAGAGCCGTGAAATCCCCCGGCATTATCAAGGTCAAAGCGGTGCGAGCCGTGACTTTTAGCGAAGCTGTTACGCCGGTGTCACGCACGAGCGGCCGTGATAACCGACGACAATAGATGCTTCTTGGAAGCATCAGTCTCGGCAGTCCGTACCGCAGACTCTCCGCTTCCCTTTCCAGATCCAGGGCGACCGGGCAAAAAATGGTTAGGGATACCGCTCGACATTCCGGCGACTGCAGATATCCTATACGATATCGTCGGAATAAATCGAACCTAAAAGATATCGATGGTATACCGGCTGACTGTTATCTGCTTTCATTTCTCCCTCTCTCTTTCTCTCTCTTTCTTCCCCGTTCGATCTCTCCTTCTCTCTTCTGCGCCTACTTCTGGCGGTATCGCGGCCAGGCAGATGTTTGGCGCTGCTGAGAAATGCCGCTTCATATCAAGCGCGACTATCATCTCAAATGCGAAATGCTACGTAGATTCGTTTTATTTTCCTCTCGAGAAAATAATTGATCGAATGCAAGGTGCTACTTTTTCAAGAGTCGCGCGATGCAGCCGGTAGCGGCAGCGTGTCTGGCCGTTTTAAGTGAAACGCGAAGGAAGCGAGTCGAATAGTCAGCGACGGAGATAAACGGCACGGAGGCTCCGTTCTGTGCGAAAGACTATTTCCCGTTTCGAATGAATGGCGCGGAATGGGAGCACATAAAGCGGGAGACAGCGACGTTAAACACCGAGCCGCGACAAGTCCCCCCCCCCCCCCCCCC